TGTGTTCAATTTCGCAGACGAAGGAGCTCGGGGTGATTATCTACAACTGCAGCTGCCTGGCACTGGACCTGCACAGGATATTCACCCTCTACTGGCAGCTGAATTACAAAGACTTCGTGCCCTCAATGTGGTCCAAGAGGGTTTTTGCCCTTTACAACAAGGACCGCATGCTCAAGGTGCACCTGAATGACACCAAGGCGGAGGTCTTCATTTCAGTAAGTGTGACTGAAAGCCTGAGACTAAACCGAAAACTATTCATTTCCTATTAGATCAGTGCCCATATGGATACAGATCTGAGCTTCTAAAAAACTCTTCATTCGCAAGGACAAGGTTATAAGAGATCAAATGAAAAGTCATTGTCATATATATCGTCTATATCTCTTTCCATTTTCAGCTATAATGGCACAATGCCTAAATCCCACTAAAATACTCAGTATGAAAGAGAAGCAGGAAAAGTCAATACAACTTTAAAAATGAATGTGGTTTTAAAATTAACCTTAAAGTCCAATCAGCATCATTACATTGCATATAATAAAGAATCTTGAATTGATTGAATACAAGCCTACTACTATTCCACACAGCACCCCTGGGGATCATTTGATACCTATGGATATATTTGCTTTGGACATCTACAGTTATTAGTGTACCTAATGTGGTGTAGCAACGCACGGTGCACAATTGACAAGATTAGTGGGGAATGTAGAAGAAAAGTGTAATATTTGCACAGTAAGCCTTCATTTGTGATGTCAGTAATTAACACGAAGCAACTCCCTCCTTCTCTTTGGTCACGTAATCTGTCTGCTACTAATTTTCCATTGAGAAATAGATCTTAATGACCTTTCTGTTTCACTGAAACACACAAGTGTCATTTGACTTCTTTGATTAATGTGACAGATAAAGGGCTGTTAATAATCGCTGTTACAAACAGTCTTGACCACTGTACTTAGAAGAACGTAATTGTGCAGTATGTTGAAAGGATGTGCTGAAATCCATTTTTTGAAAATGATTTTCTTTATTAGGAGAACACTTTCCTTGTATGCATATTCAAAAACAACATTTTTTAATAGATGTTGATTTCTTTTGTCAGCTGGAAAACTTTGATAGTCTGGCTGTGCATTTTTACACCATTAAACAGTTGTCATCTGGAAATGTTTTGACTTGGCTGTCACGTTGCATAAAAAATAAGAAACGCTGAGGAAAAAAATGACTCTTCACCAGAAAACCGTTTAAAATAAATTGTTTTGGAGCTGGTGTTATTGACTCAGCAGCCTGCCTTCGGTTGTTGCAATCAAGGTTTTAATTAATAAAAAAGAAACTGAAGGGTATTTTTTCATGTATGTTTCAATCGGTCCTCCATGATCAAGTGACAACTAATCACCACTGCCCTCACTACCAATCAGAACCTGGCACAGT